TTGCATCAATATGCATATATAAATATATATATATATATATATATATATATATAGAGAGAGAGAGAGAGAGAGAGAGAGAGAGAGAGAGAGAGAGAGAGAGAGAAGAGAGATGAAGAGATGTTCAATTAAACATATTTCAAAAAACATCTCTGAACAATTATATACATGCTATTTATTCCACTTGTGTATGTTATCATAAGTTTGTCTATATTTTCAATAGATGTGTAGCAAATAACTCAGGGCAAGTAAAGACACCTGCAGACAAGCATCGGGAGGCCTGAATATCTTGAAGACTTTGACAACATCACAACCGCTGCTTATTACTTTCCGTGTAAATAAGTGATAAGACAAATGAGAAATAATGTTGATGAAAATACAAGACGAACACACAAGCAATGCAAAGATTCCATACGGTTAATATGGCTTGCTTAGTGTCTTTAGTCAGACCATGGACTCTGCCGCAGAGACACATTCCTGGAAGAGATGGCTTTGCAAGGCTGACATCCATATATATATATATTTATTTATACATGTATATAGATAGATAGAGAGATAGAGATATGGGTGTATATATATATATATATATATATATATATATATATATATGTATATATATATATATATATATATATATATATATACATAGCTCCATGGGTATTTCAGAGCTTCAGATTACTCGGTTTATGTTACTTAAACCTCCACAATACTATCCTAAATACTTTTGGTGTATCATAAATATTTACAGTCGTTTCTTGTTCTACTTTTCCCTTCTATTCGATACTACTACTAATACTTTTCTTCCAGTCGATACCATTATGAATGCGAGAGAGAGAGAGAGAGAGAAAGAGAGAGAGAGAGAGAGAGAGAGGGGGGAGGAGAAAGAATGAGATTGCGAAAAAATAAAAAATAAAAATATAGGCAACTTAGGGTCGGGGAGGTTTATAACACTTGATCTGAAGATTTGCACAGGCTTCGGGCTTCCTTAGTATTAGAATAATCTATTACATTATCATTCAGCCTGTGTATATATGTATGTAATATATGTATGTATGTAATATATGTATGTAAGTGTGTAATATATGTATGTAAGTATGCAATATATGTATGTAAGTATGTAATATATATATGTAAGTATGTAATATATGGATGTAACAGGTGTCTGATTTATATATCCAATGTATATACTCAATGTATGTATGCAAGATATGCATGCAACGTATGTATGTATAGACCAGCTCAGCCTGCACAGATTGCACTGACCTTGAGGCCTGTTATCTCTCAAGGAAGAGCTGGTCATGTCACTGATACAGCTTTTTCCTCATCATTTTCCCTGTTCTTATCATCTTAATTCTCTACTCATGCTTCCGTTCTCATCTTATTAGATTCGTGTGGTAATATTTCAAAGAAAATAAAAGGTGTTGTATTAGACTGAATTCGAAATAATTGTTTATTGTAAAACCACTCGCCATAAACATGATATTCAGAATGGTAGGTAAGGATAAGCATCTGTTCGTATCTACATTTTACACAAGCACTTGAAGAAGCTATTTAAAGCATAAGATCCTGACAATGCACTTCTGTCCAGCTCTGTTTGTGAGGTATAATGTGGATATTTTTCAGTTCATAAGAAACTGATTTGTGATATGTCTTACCACTCATAAGATTAATTATATACATGGAAATCAGTTCTCGTTAAACTGTCTAATCTTTCCTTTCCTCGCTTCAGTAAAAAAAAAAAAAAAATATTAAAATTCCTCTCACCAATGTTGCTTTCGCTCATAATTCTGCAACACGCTGTAGTATCTTAAGGTTGCAGGGTACAGGGTGGTAGCGCAGGCCCTTCGGCAGTGGTAGTGTGTTGGCTGCCGAGAGTAGTGCCTCTGCCTTGTTCTGTTCAACACCCTCCACGGGAAACCTTTCACGACGCGTGAGTGTTCTTAGCCACTGAAGGATATTCAGTTTTTGATATATCGTAAATTACTTCTACTACTACCACTTCTGCTGCTGTTACTACTACTATTACCACTAATAATGATAATACTGCTGTTACTACTACTGTTACTACTAATAATAATGATACTGCTGTTACTACTACTGTTACCACTACTGATAATACTGCTGTTACTACTACTTTTACCACTACTACTAATAATAATGATGATACTGCTGTTACTACTACTACTACAATTGCTGCTGACGCTGTTACTACTACTGCTGCTGCTGTTACTGTTCCTACTAATATTAATACTACAATTACTAATGATAACAAAATAATTAAACGACAAATAAATCAATTAAAAATGTAAATGCATCTTTTCCAGCAGAAACTACCGAGAAAACCAGGCCAATGGCAGATGACAGCGACTTCGATTTTTTCGTGCTGACTCCCAGTGACTTTGCGACGTGACTGACATCATCGCCAGGGAATTCTTCACCAGGGAGCCGCTGGTAAGGCTGAGGAGTTTGTCGGAGATAAAATGTTTTTTATATTCAATTTCTTTGGTTGGTTTATCTGAAGTTTGTTTTGTTGGTCCATTATTCTTATAGTGTTATTTATATTCGAACAACCACACTCTTTGTTACAAACTACCTTTAGCCTCATTCACAAAAATGCTATTTGCGCTATGTTTACTTCCATTAGTTGCCAGATGTACAAAAGTGGGACCCAGTAAGTGTAGTGAAATATAATTCCGCAACTGTACATATATATTTACATATTTAGAAATATGCATATATATATATATATATATATAATGCATATATATGTATATATATGTATATGTATGTATATATGTATATAAATAATATGTATATGTAAATATATATACAAACACACACATACATACACACACACACACACACACACACACACACACACACACACACACACACACACACACACACACACATATATATATATATATATATATATATATATATATATATATATGCATATGTATATACATATACATATATGTATATATATATATGCATATATATATGTAGGCGTATAGTAAATATCTGCGCCCTTTGCCCTCCCGCCCGCGCCCGCCCCAGACCCAGGGCACCCACGCCTCCAACGTCAGGTCAGGAAGGGCAGAATCGCAGATGACATCAGGATGTGCCTGGAGCGGGCGTGTCCGTGGGCGTGAGACACCGACCCACGGGCGAGCTGGTGGGCGTGAGAATCAGCTGTATAAAATCACGGGCGGGGTCTTCGCCGCCCACTCAGCCAGCGAATGAACTGGTAAGAAATAATCTCTGGTTTGGATTTTTTATTATCTCCGATGTGATAGAATTTTACTTCGTTTTATTATTTCTTTTATAATCATCCATCTTTTACGATTTATTTTTATGATTATCTCTTAAGTATTTGTTATATATACGAATATAAGTGGCATTTATATTCACCTTTCCCAAGGAAGTTATAATTTTGGTAACGTTGATTAGTTAGTTAGCAGGATAAATCTAAAAGTTACGAACAGATTTTTCAGCATTTTTTTTTTTTTTTTTTTTTTTTTATCAGAGGTGCGCCTTAACCCAACTTATATGTCATTTAATGTTGGTAATCTGGATCATGATCTGGATTCAGGAATCTTTAACGAAATATTTCGAATGTGAATATTTTATTGCATCAGTGACCCTGTGACCTTTATAAGTGGTGTATATATTAATCTTTATATGTGGTTTATATATTCACTTTTACAATTGGGTTATATATTTTACAAGTCCTTTATATATCCATCTTTATAATTATTTTATACATTTTACAAGAGGTTATACATTTTCACCCTTACAAGTGGTTTAATACCTTACTGTGTTATCTGAATTCTTATCACCAGGAAGCGTTGTTCCGAGTGTACGACGAAGTCATGAAAGAAGTTGATGTCTTCGAGGCCCAAGACGTCGACAAAGTGTTATCTATGTATATGGTAGGAGTCCACAGGGACTTCGGAGGTCGTGGTCTTGGCAGGAAACTGGTGGAGGTTCGTTCTTAAGGTTTAATTTGACTTCATAAACTAAATGTTCTCTTTATAACGAAAAAAATGAATTAGAAGCATTAAAACTATATGCACTTAAAAGCCATTTTTGCTTCTAAGAGTGTTACATTTCGTCATTATCGGCCGGTTTAGTTAAAATTGTGCCAGGCCCGGCCTAATTGACATTCGTTACACGGACATGCACATACACAGATATAAATACATATTTATCAGTCTAGACGTGCATATCTACCGTACAGATAGAAAAAATAAATGTATATTTATTGGATAGATCGATAGATATGCATTTATTTCTGTATATATGGATGTCGGTTTATACGAATATTCTTCGGGTTGGGCGAGGCGCAATTTTAACAAACCGGCCGAATAAAGCGTCTTCTCCGCTTCTTCAAGAAATAGGGATTGTGTCTTTAAGGAATCTAACCCTTTTCAGCGGTGCATGGAGAAGGGGGTAGAAAAGGGATGCCAGCTAGCGGTGACGTGTATCACTAACAAATACTCGGGAAGGATTTTCGAGAAGCTAGGTTACGAGGTGCGTCACTGCCTTGACCTGACCTCCCTCGGGCCGGACTGGGGCGTCGACACCTCGGTCATGGGCGAGAATACCACCGTCAGGGTCATGATCAAGAGGCTGCCATGAAGAAGGAGTCTTTTTGTGTCTGTCTCTTTTCTCCTTCAATCTCTGTCTGTCACTTTCATTCGCTCCCTTTCTTTCTTTCTCTCTTTCTCTCTCTATCTCTGGCTCTGGCTCTTTCTCTCCTTTTGTCTCTTTCTCCCCTTCAATCTCTGTCTGTCTCCTTTCTCATTCCTCCCTTTCTTTCTTTCTCTTTCTCCTCTATCTCTTTCTGGCTCTGGCTCTTTCTCTCCTTATGTCTCTTTCTCCCCTTCAATCCCTGCCTGTCTCTTTCTCTCATTCACTCTTTCTTTCTTCCTCTCTCTCTCTTTCTCTCTCTATTTCTTTCTCCCTTTCTCTCTCTCTCTTTCTTTCTCCCTCTCTTTCTGGCTTTGAACACTTTTATTAATCAACATAATAAAAGATTGATTTTTTTCAGTTGTATTAACATCGTTAATAAATGCTTTGTCGGTTATTTTGTTTTGAATCCGAATATCTCAAGTGGCATATAAAAGGTTTTAACCTTAAATATCATTTCAAATCTCTTATCAAATTTCTTATCAGTGGATATCAATATATATATATATACATATGCATTCACTGATAAGAAATTTGATAAGGGATTTGCCAATTGTAGTTACGTATTTTTAGTTACACTAACGCCCCGGATTCACGGATTCACCTATGCGAACGGGTGGTCATGTTGCCCACTTGGGGTGTTCACTTTTATTTTTAATGCCCCTGCTGACGCCCTTTTTGCAAGCCCTCATACATTTTCTAAACGCCCACCTCCAGAAGATTGCTTTGTAAGTTTTGGGTCCGAAAGGAGTGCTTTTAACCCACACGCAAACCTCTTCCAATTTGGGTACTTGGAAACCCTGCCGTGACGCACAGCGGAGTCGCCACGGAGGGTAGTTGGCGGGTGACCTTGACTTTGGGGAGGTGTGAGTGTGGGCTGGGGAAGACTCTTGATTTGCTGATTTTCGCTTGCTGTGATATCGTGTGATATACTGTGATATTACCGTTGTTTACCAGTGATTGCCCTTGCCGCATTTGTGATGTCAGAGATGCAGTAGCAGTAGTGCTTTTCGTAAATAAAGCCGTGCACATGAACAGTTTTTGTCTCCACTCCTGTAGGAGGTAGAAAGGGCGGCTTTTCCCCATGCCCATGCCATCTTCTCTACGGTCGGAGGATTACTCGTCAGCTCCTGTAGTAGGGTTGAGTGTCGGTGTCCCTGCACTTAACCACGCCACACAATTATATCTATCTATATATATATGTAAATATATACATGTATGTATGTATATATATGTATATATATACATATCTATATATGCATATACATGTGTGTATATATATATATATGTGTGTGTCTGTGTGTGTGTGTGCGTGTGTGTGTGTGTGTGTGTATTCATATATAAACATTTTATGTATTGATTTATTCATATATATATATATATATGTATATGTATACATATATATGTATGTGTGTGTATACACACACACACACACACATACAGTATATACATGTTATATATTTATGCATAAATATATATATATATATATATATATATATATGCATATATATAATATGCATATACATATAAGCATATATATATATATATATATATATATGCATATATATGTATGTATATATATATATATATATATATATATATATATATATATATATATATATATATATATATATATAGAGAGAGAGAGAGAGAGAGAGAGAGAGAGATGTTCAATCAAACATATTTCAAAAAACATCTCTGAACAATTATATACATGCTATTTATTCCACTTGTGTATGTTATCATAAGTTTGTCTATATTTTCAATAGATGTGTAGCAAATAACTCAGGGCAAGTAAAGACACCTGCAGACAAGCATCGGGAGGCCTGAATATCTTGAAGACTTTGACAACATCACAACCGCTGCTTATTACTTTCCGTGTAAATAAGTGACGAGACAAATTAGAAATAATGTTTGATGAAAATACAAGACGAACACACAAGCAATGCAAAGATTCCATACGGTTAATATGGCTTGCTTAGTGTCTTTAGTCAGACCATGGACTCTGCCGCAGAGACACATTCCTGGAAGAGATGGCTTTGCAAGGCTGACATCCATATATATATATATATATATATATATATATATATATATATATATATATATATATATATATATATATATATATATATATATATATATATATATATATATATATATATATAGATAGAGATGGTAGATAGATAGATAGATATAAAGATGTCTACATAGCTCCATGGGTATTTCAGAGCTTCAGATTACTCGGTTTATGTTACTTAAACCTCCACAATACTATCCTAAATATTTTGGTGTATCATAATTTTTTTACAGTCGTTTCTTATTCTAATTTTCCCTTCTATTCGATACTACTACTAATACTTTCTTCCAGTCGATACCATTATGAATGCGAGAGAGAGAGAGAGAGAGAGAGAGAGAGAGAGAGAGGGGGAGAGAGAGAGAGAGAGAGAGCTGGAGGGGGGGGGGAGAGAAAGAATGATTGCGAAAAAAAAAAAAATAAAGGCAACTTAGGGTGGGGGAGGTTTATAACACTTGATCTGAAGATTTGCACAGGCTTCGGGCTTCCTTAGTATTAGAATAATCTATTACACCATCATTCAGCCTGTGTATGTATTTATGTATGTAATATATGTAAGTGTGTAATATATGTATGTATGCAATATATGTATGTAAGTATGTAATATATATATGTATGTAATATATGGATGTAACAGGTATCTGATTTATGTATCCAATGTATATACTCAATGTATATATGCAAGATATGCATGCAACGTATGTATGTATAGACCAGCTCAGCCTGCACAGATTGCACTGACCTTGAGGCCTGTTATCTCTCAAGGAAGAGCTGGTCATGTCACTGATACTTACAGCTTTTTCCTCATCATTTTCCCTGTTCTTATCACCTTCTTCTCTACTCATGCTTCCGTTCTCATCTTATTACATTCGTGTGGTAATATTTCAAAGAAAATAAAAGGTTGTGTTGTATTAGACTGAATTTGAAATAATTGTTTATTGTATACCCACTCGCCATAAACATGATATTCAGAATGGAGGGTAAGGATAAGCATCTGTTCGTATCTACATTTTACACAAGCACTTGAAGAGGCTATTTAAAGCATAAGATCATCCTGACAATGCACTTCTGTCCCACTCTGTTTGTGGGGTATAATGTGGATATTTTTCAGTTCATAAGAAACTGATTTGTGATATGTCTTAACACTCATAAGCTTAATTATATACATGGAAATCAGTTCTCGTTAAACTTGTCTAAACTCCTTCCTTTCCTCGCTTCAGTAAAAAAAATATTAAAATTCTTCTGACCAATGTTGCTTTCGCTCATAATTCTGCAACACGCTGTAGTATCTTCAGGTTGCAGGGTACAGGGTGGTAGCGCAGGCCCTTCGGCAGTGGTAGTGTGTTGGCTGCCGAGAGTAGTGCCTCTGCCTTGTTCTGTTCAACACCCTCCACGGGAAACCTTTCACGACGCGTGAGTGTTCTTAGCCACTGAAGGATATTCAGTTTTTGATATATCGTAAATACCTTCTACTGCTACAATACTGCTGCTGTTACTACTACTATTACCACTAATAATGATAATAATGATAATACTGCTGTTACTACTACTACTAATACTATACTACTATACTACAATTGCTGCTGACGCTGTTACTACTACTACTATTACTACTACTGCTGCTGCTGTTACTGTTCCTACTAATACTAATACTACAATTACTAATGATAAACTAATGAAACAAAAATAACTAACGATAAATAAAAAATGGCAAATGAAGCGACTTTTTTTTCGTGCTGACTCCCAGTGACTTTGCCGACGTGACTGACATCCTCGCCAGGGAATTCTTCACCAGGGAGCCGCTGGTAAGGCTGAGGAGTTTGTCTGGAGATGAGCAGCTTTTTTATATATGAATTTCTTTAGTTGGTTTATCTGAAGTTTGTTTTGTTGGTCTATTATTCTTATAGTGTTATTTATATTCGACCAACCACACTCTTTAGCCTTACCTACCTTCACAAAAAATGCTATTTACGCTATGTTTACTTCCATTAGTTGCCAGATGTACAAAAGTGGGACCCAGTAAGTGTACTGAAATATAATTCCGCAACTGTACATATATATTTACATATATAATATATATATATATATATATATATTATATATATATATATATATAATTATATATATATATATATATATGTATATATGTATATAATATGTATATATATATACAAACACACACACACACACACACACACAACACACACACACACACAACACACACACACACACACATATATATATATAATATATATATATATATATATATATATATATATGCATATGTATATACATATATATATATATATATATATAT